AAAAATATAGAATATGAGCAAAATGGGTACCAAAGATACAATAAAATAGGGATATAGAACAACAAATAACTCTAACAAAATGAGAGTTATCAGTATTATTAGAGATGTCTCCTACGTTACCCATAATATGTGGAAGTATCAACGTAATTTCATAAAGTCATTCGGTCTGAATGCTTCATGAAGAACATAAGTCAGATGATGGAACGGTGCTACAATGGCCGGGACAAAGGGTCGCGATCCCGCGAGGGTGAGCTAACTCCATAAACCCGTCCTCAGTTCGGATTGCAGGTTGCAACTCGCCAACTGTCATTGTTCACACATCATATGTGGATTGGTGGATTTCTCATAGTTGGTGCTGCTACGCATGCAGCCATTTTTATGGTAAGAGACTATGATCCAACGCTTATACTGCCCCAAACAACTGACTGCATTTTCCAACTGAAATGAAAAAAATACTTAATATAGATCCTTTATCAATTAAGTATTATCCATTTGCCGATTATGTTAAGGACTAAATTGCATATGCATATCATACGGGAACCCAGAAATGTTTTCAAGCGGTGAAACTATTAGATCATTATAGTGAAAGCTATTGTAATTTTTCACAAAACCGTAATATAGATTAGATGCCTTGATATCTGTATTCGAAAACGAAGGTTTAATGGTTCGACACACATTATTGCTTTCTATTATCTTTTTTCACAAAAGCTCTAAAATAAAATCTGAAAAACAAATATATTGCTAAAAGTGAAATTCAAGCCCATACGCAATAAAGCATTATGATTGCATCTTCAATAAATGTAACACCCTCAAATCTGGAAATGATGATTAATTTAAAATTTCCAATAATACATTAAATAAAGGGTAAATCTCTTTCTATAAATCAATATTTGGATTACCTTGAATAACAAATCTAGATTTAACATTAACAATAAATAAACCAAGCTTTACACAAGGTCATATGAACTTATTACAAAGCTTTCAGATAGAACACTTTATTGTTTGGTCTTATAAACTTAAGACCTATAAAACAATCTATCAAAACACTTGGACATTATTAATGTCCTATAAACCAGATTTTATTTCAGTCATATAATTCTGCCCTGATGCATATGCATATGCATCAGGGGCGGACCCAGAAAAATTTTCAAACGATGACACCATATAATTAATATAGTATAATATACATCTAAAAATAATTACAAAAAATGTGGTTTTTATAGTACCGATAAACGACTCCTAAACTTGTACTCGACGTGTTTTCATCTTTTGAAAATGGTCAATATATACCAAAAAATAATTACAAAAAGTATGGTTTTGGTTATTTGGGCTTTGTTTTGTTTGGGTTTTAGTTGCACTATTTGGATTTCAGGGAAATACGGTAACACCTTCTAAAATGATACGGTAGCACCGTTAACAAACCTAAATTTTTTACCCTTCGGCTGCGAAATAATACGGTGGCACGTGCCACCCATGTCACCACACCAGGTCCGCCTATGATATGCATGTGCATGTGCATGTGTATATGTATATGTATATGTATAGGGGCTCATTCAAGGGAGAACTGACTAGTTTGTGGTGACCGTGAGATCCAATCTCAACCACAAATCAATAGATAAATTAGGAAATTTATAATTTTGGTAATTTTGAATTAAAATTTTAATGCAAGTACATTTTAGGTATTTTGTCTTCTCTCTCCGTCCCCCATCCTCCGTCGTCCGGTGATACCTAAAAATATTGACTCTATTAAACAAAAGACACAGTGTGATATCCAAGCATATATAAGATGCATTGTGATACCACTGTGTTATATCTCCGATTGACCAGTGTGATACTCAAGCACCCTCAGTGTGATACTCAAACACATATAATATGCATTGTGATACCACTGTGGTATCACCGGATGATGGTGGCCGGAGGACGGAGAGAGAAGAGAAGAGAAGAGAGAGGTGAGAGGAGAGTTTTAAAATACCTAAAATGTCYTTGYATTAWAATTTTAATTCAAAATTACCAAAATTATAAATTTCATAATTTATCTATTGATTTGTAATTAGACCTCATTATTATCATAAACTAATTAGTTCTTATTTAATTAGACTTTCTATATATATATATATGTATATATATATATATATATATATGTACATGTAGATATATATTTATCTATGAATGATTCATTTCTTTCCTCTTTTCACATTACACAGACGTAATCCTTTTTGCCTCTCCAAAATCTATAAATGCATGCACATGGAAATCCACAGACAAAAACACACAAGAAGTTGCGAAAATGAATAAGTCAGTCTTAATCATTAATACCACCATCTTTCTCCTCTTTTTGCTCTCTCTCCCCACCATCTCTCACTCACAACGTTGCAACAAAAATGACGAAAAAGTCCTCTTCCAAATCAAGAAATCCCTTGGAAACCCCTACCTCTTGGCCTCTTGGCAAAAGACTTTGGATTGCTGTGAATGGTACAATGTGGAATGTGACGCAAACACCAGCCGTATCATCGCCCTCACCATCTTTTCCGGCAACATCTCCGGCCAAATCCCAAAGGAAGTCGGTGACCTCCCTTACCTCCAAACCTTAGTCTTTCGAAAACTCACAAACCTCACCGGAGAAATCCCATCGGCGATTACTAAACTCACCCACCTCACCATGCTCAGACTAAGTTGGACTAACTTGTCTGGTCCTGTACCTTCGTTCCTCAGCCAACTCAAAAACTTAGATTTCCTTGATTTGTCCTTCAATGATCTCACCGGCTCTATCCCGCCGGAGCTTGCAACCTTGACGAAACTAAATGCCCTTCACCTAGATCGGAATAAACTCACCGGAGTCATCCCTGATTCATTCGGAAGGTTCACCGGAAACGTCCCGGATCTTTACCTGTCACATAACCAGCTTACCGGAACAGTACCCATATCTTTAGGGTACTTAAATTTCACCACCATCGATTTCTCTCGTAACCAGCTGACCGGTGACTTGAGCATGTTTTTTGGAACAAACAAGACGATTCAAATAGCTGACTTTTCGAGGAACAGTTTCGAGTTCAACCTCTCGCAGGTAGAGTTTCCGGCGAGCTTGACGTCGTTGGATTTGAATCACAACAAGATATACGGGAGTCTGCCGGCGACTTTGACGGGACTAGATTTGCAGTATTTTAACGTGAGTTACAATCGGCTTTGTGGAAAGGTTCCTCAAGGTGGGGAATTGCAGAAGTTTGATAACACGTCGTATTTTCATAACCGGTGCCTGTGCGGGTCGCCATTACCGGCCTGCACCTGAAGTTATATTGGCTCCGTCGTGTTGGATTGAAATCAGCCTAATAAAAATCTTCAGGGATTGCGTTTGTCAATTCTAAAAACATGGAGGTTCAAGGGTAAATTTATAAAGGATGAGGGGCTTAAAAGCAAATTAAATAAGTAGAGCAGTAAAAATAATATGGTTTTGTATTTAATCATTCTACACCAAACAATTTCATTCCGTTGTATTATTTATATCATGTTTTACATTAATCTGTTTATCAAACGTTTATCCGAAAACTTTTTGTAAGGTCATCTATCTTATCAAATAAATATGACATAAGAATTGAGAATCTTACCTTGTAAGAATAATGACAAGGATCGATTGTCTTACGAGGTAAATGAGAATGAAATTTTTATCTGGTTAGTGTTTACATGGTGAATTGTTATATATAATGTCTTTTTGATAAACTACAATTTTATCCAGTTAGAACTTGAGAGTGTCGATTTTTATTGATAAATGTATGCATACATACATACGTGTATGTATATGTAAAACTGATTTATAAGAAGTAATGAAATTTAGTGGTCATATTTAATAAGTATAATTTAATAAAAATAATAAAAAATATTAATGGTAAAAAAATTATATTAAAAAAAATATTTACCTCATTTCATATGAAACGTTTTTATTAATTCATCTCCATAATTAACAGTAGTTATTACCTTCCAATATTAATCAATATACGATGAAATGACCATCATACCCTTACTTATTAAAATTAAGGGAAAAGTCTAAAAAAACTCAATGAACTTTAGTATTTGAAATGATTAAGTCCTTGGACAAGTTTTTGAACAAATAAGTCCTTATACATTTTAAAACATGTTAAATAACTCATTGGAATTTCTAAAACATGTTAGATACATTCTTATGACCTATACAACTGGTTAATGCGGTAAATTAATGAAAAAAGTCTGAAAAAAAGTAAATGAACTTTCATATTTTGAATGATTAAGTCTCTAAACATTTTTTAAACCAAAAGAGTACTTAAATCTATAAAAAAAATAAACAAATATACCAAAAAAATTACTTACATTTACGAAAAAATACTTACATTTTAAAAAAAAATTACTGAT